AGAACTGTCGGACAATACTTTTGCCGCCTCTGGACAATACTTTTACCGCAACGCGGTCAATACTTTTGCCGCCGCGTGGACAATACTTTTGCCGCGAAGCGGTCAATACTTTTGCCGCCGTGTGGACAATACTTTTGCCGCGACGCGGTCAATACTTTTGCCGCCGCGTGGACAATACTTTTACAGCCTCTGGACAATACTTTTACCGCGACGCGGTCAATACTTTTGCCGCCGCGTGGACAATACTTTTGCGGCTCCGAGGAAAAAATTTTGACCGATTTCACGATTTTGTATCAGGATAACATGACATGAAAGGAGGTATATCGTCGAGCGAATTCCAAGAAATGTCGTCATTTCTAAGAATCTTCGAACAATATCCTTGCCGTCTCGCCGAGAATTTTTCGGCCGATTTCGCAACTTTGTACTAGGATAACATGACATGATAGGAGGTCGCTCATTGAGACAGTTCCAAGAAATGACGTCATTTCCAAGAATTCTCGGATAATGCTTTTGCAACTTCGGCGAGGAAGTTTCGGCCGATTTTGCGATTTTGTATCAGGATAACATGATGTGAAAGGAGGTTGCTCGCGGACCGATTCCAAGAAATGACGTCATTTCCAGGAATTCTTGGACAATACTTTTGCTGCTTCGGCGAGAAACTTTCGGCCGATTTCGCAACTTTGTACTAGGATAACATGACATGATAGGAGGTCGCGCTTCGAAACAGTTCCAAGAAATGACGTCATTTCCAAGAATTCTCGGATAATGCTTTTGCAACTTCGGCGAGGAAGTTTCGGCCGATTTTGCGATTTTGTATCAGGATAACATGATGTGAAAGGAGGTTGCTCGCGGACCGATTCCAAGAAATGACGTCATTTCCAGGAATTCTTGGACAATACCTTTGCTGCTTCGGCGAGAAACTTTCGGCCGATTTCGCAACTTTGTACTAGGATAACATGACATGATAGGAGGTCGCGCTTCGAAACAGTTCCAAGAAATGACGTCATTTCCAGGAATTCTCGGGCGATACTTTTGCAGCCTTGGCGAGAATTTCTCGACCGATTTCACGACTTTGTACTAGGATAACAGAACATGATAGAAGGTCTCTCGCCGACCGATTCCAAGAAATGACGTCACTGCCTAGAATTCTATCGCGGGACATTTCACAGCGTTTGCATGAATATACATATAACACATAAACTACTGATTGCGGGAGATTTTAATTATTTTACTTACCTTACTCACCTTATTTTCCTCACTTACCTTACTTCCATTAGTTTATTCTTCTTACTTCGCATATTACATTAACAGATATTGCCCTCCCTTAATTTTCAAAGTTCGAAGAGACCAATGAAAATTTAAAAGAGATAGGAAATATCTTAAACTTTACGCGTAGCTCTTAGCTTGGTATCGTTTCCCAAAAATTGTTTTTTGGGAAACGATACCAATTACCAGGTCTCACCACGTGGAGGTGGCTACGCAACGAGACCCGACATGCGCCCTAGTGGCGCAGCCTGCTGGCGCTACCTGTATCAAAGGTACCCTAATCTAACTTGGAGCGAATTAAGTTAAAGTGACTCTACTGACACTTTATTTTATTTCGTGTCTTACAAAAGGGGTTTCGGTTCGGTATACTACAACTCTACTTTCGCAACACTAAGATACTTAAATAGAGATACAACTAGGGAATGAAATGTTAAAGACGCGAGCAAATTAAAAATCGCGACGCGCCCGAACGAGATCGCGACTATTCGAAAGACCGACTAGCCTACGAGACGTACTCTCGAGTACAAGACGACTTCATGTCTCGGCACCCTCACGATCGGGCCTAGTCCATGTCCAGTCACTGCCATACTCTTGTCAAGACTTACACGTGGACCAAGGATAGTCCCCGAACCAATGAAACTTCCAGAGTCGATACGAGGGTCCGGCGGGGCATTGCAAGCCAGACAGACACTTCGCATCCCAGCCACACGGGGTAGAACTTAATCATCCCTGTGGTCTAACCGTAGACACTATGTCCATCCAACTGCGTACCCAAACCCCAGTCGCGTACGCGACCGGGGCAGCTGGACCCCCGCATCAAGTCCAGAAGAAACAAGTGACCCGAGGGCCACCCTGGAACTCGATGCTTGACGAGGTTGACAGTGGCTGGAAATGAGTGTCGGAGACGAGTCGTGAGGATGACTTATGAGACGCGAAGTTGTCGAGTACAGGGGAGTACGTCGCGCAGGCTAGTCGATACTTAAGAATGGTCGCGAATATCGCGAGAACAATTATGTTCTATTTGGTATACGAGGGGGATAAAGGAGAAAAAATATGAGATATATATTCGCTCCGAGTTAGGTACCTTACCTTTGTACACATAGCACGCACATGGAACTTAGTCTAAGTATCTATCTTATCACTAACTTAGACTAACACACGCATCTCGCGTTGTCCATTGATGTGTCAAATGAATTTTTGAGGAAACGTGAGAATCTTGAGAAACCTAAAAGCTAAAACAGAATATATTATTGTTAATATAAACCTGGAAAGAAACGGATTAGTACGAGGAAAGAAAACGAACGAATAGAAACCATAAAGGTTAACTAAGTGGAAGGAGCAAGCCACCGATGAGACATGAACAACCCAATGACGAAACATTCGAATATTATACGAAATATTCGAATGTTGGAATGGAGATGAATAGAAACGAAAAAATAAAATGTGGAAAGAGAAGAATAATTAAAATTTGAAAAAAAAAATTAAAACCTGTAAGAAAATAAATTAGACCTGAAAATAAAAATTATTAACAATCCAACGATGTGACATAAACAACCCAACGATGAGACATTCGAATATTGTACGAAATATTCGAATGTCCAAATAAGAATACATAGAAATAAAAAAATAAAGTCTGAAAACAAAAAAAAATAATTAATATCTGAAAAGAAAAAAAAAAATTAGAGCTGGAAAGAAAAATTATTATTAAATTGTTTAATGGGGTGGGGTGAGGCTGGGGTAGCCATCCCCAACCTCACTTCCGACTCCCACCCCTCGCGCACTATGAAAATTAGATGTTACACTCGCGAAGTCGAAGCGACAAATGAGTTATGCTCCGACGCGACGCTCCTTATATAGCCTCCGATCGGCCGAGCTCCCCACCCCGATCGCAAATTTTCTAACTTCACCGATTTCATTAATTAATATTTTTCGGCTATAATAGCCAATAATTAAATAATTTTTTTACTCCTGCTACAAATTTACACTGCGAACAATTTGTTATTAACAATATTAATTTGTTATTAACAATCAGTTTAATAATTTACCAACTTTTTGCAAATTATACAAGTATTTTAACACAAGTACATTATTACTTCGAGTAATAATAATTTATTATTCATAGTAAATCTCAATCTAAAAATATAAATATATCCATATACTTAAATATATATTCAACAGTATTATAATGTCGTCACTTAATTGTTAACACTTTACATTAGCCTCTCTTACCTTTTTCAACAGACCATGAAAAATCACGATGTCGCCCATGATCCCGACACTAATCGATTACCAATATCAAATAGTAAAGTGGTGACGTAACTGTGAAATCCACAAGATCGTTAATAGCAAGAGTTCCGCAGACCCAAGGTCAGAGATAAGAAAACAATTCCACGGAGACGCGGACTCAGTCGGTATCGAGACGCAGCAATTGCGACGGAAGAGAAAATCCTTGGCACGGATACACGTCGGTCCGCGGCGAGGACGGGGGTTAGGGTTGCGATTGGACAGGGTTGAAAGATCCTTTCCAGACGATCCCGTGTCTCGAGATTTCTTCTCTGCCTGTTGCCACCGGTGTACTAGTCGGACGGGACTCTATTGGAATTGTCAGCCTGTCCGGATAAGTATCTGAACGGAAAGCAGACGCGGAAGTGGACCGGCACGGAGGAATGGAGATGGCGTCTGAGTAGCACCGTGTCGAACAAACGACAGAGAAAGTGTCGTTTTTCTTTCGTTTCTTCTTCTCCTATTCCTTTTGCCCTAGGTGACCTTCGACATCCACGAGAACGGTATCTTGAACGTGTCCGTCGTGGAGAAGTGGACGCACAAGGAGGACAGATAACGATAACCAACGACAAGGGACGACTCGAAGAGGACACGGAACGAATGGTGAACGAAGCGGAAAGATACGACGGGACCAATCGCGAAAAGAGTGGGTCGTACTACTTCAACGCGAGGAGTCGAGGATGGAAAGATCACGAGAAAGATCGAGGAAGGAATACGGAAACGCATGGCCGACAAGTGCATCGAAGTTGTCAAGTGCTTCGATAGGACTGCAACACGTAGCTAAGAGTCAGTTCGAAGATAAGTTCGAAAGCGGTTGAAAAGTTTGTTTAAGAATGCGTTTTTAGTGCATTCGTCTCTCTTCCGAGTGGGGGACACGTGGCGCTAGTTTGAGCGAATTGTGATGGGAATTCGGTGAAGCTTCGAATTACCTTTTATCGATTTTCATGTGGCCAACTAATGTTAATATTGAATCTTAGTTTCCTACTTTACCGTGCCACGATATTTCTCCGAATGAGGGAAATGTGGCGCTAGCTTGAACGAATTACGGTGAGCATTCGGTGAAGCTTCGAATTACCTTTTATCGACTGCTTTGTGATCAACTAATGTTAATATTGAACCTTAGTTTTCTACTTTACCGACTAACGATTCATTGAGAGTATAGTTCTTACCATTTGTCGAACGGCGTTGACTGTAATCGATAAATTAGTGTTCCTTCTGATAATGGGCAGAACATTGACCCATGGTCGATATAGGCGGCATCATTACGTCACCTGCAATTACCATATGAAAATCAAAACGAATAATCGTGTGTTTCGAATGAACTAGATCCAAAATAATGAAAGTTCTGATGATATTAACACTTACTGAGAGTAGTGAGAAATATTCGCAAGGTTTCGCCATAAAATAAATATACCTCGTTAATTTCAACGTATTATTTATTGCAAGCGAGTTTGGGAAAGGTAGTTATCGTAATGATTTCGTAATACATTCGAAATATGCGATAATATTGTCAGACTAACACAACGACCTAGCGTCGCCGCTTACGTGTATGTGACGCGCGTATCAGTGTGTATGCAGCGTGTAAACTGTTTCATCAAACGGGTCCTCCTTGCATCACATTAAAACTAGTATTGTTTATGCTTGTAAAGAATATGTACACAAAATGGAGAAGGGGACACTATTAAATATTTAATGAACTTAGCGTATCGTAAATATAGCCTACGCATTAATGGAACGTTTCTTCTCGTAAAAAATAGATTATGCAGAGCACCATGGTTTCTTCATCGTCATCTTCATCGACGTCTCCCTTCGTTCTTTTTTTTTTTTTTCACTTTCTTATCCTTTATCATCGAATCAACTGGATATCTTATGTACAATTTTCCGCGTCGTTGTCGCGAACCACCGCGATGAATCGCGACGCTGTAACGCTGCTTGCAAGCACATTACGAAATGTGAGGCTAGTTTCCGGTCGGTGTGGCGGCGAGATTACAGTATCACCGCCGTATCAGCGCGGTATCAATCGAGAAACAAACGAGGAACAGAAACTGACTATAATGTTGCCGCAAAATTTTATGCCCTGTGCTCAGTCTTTCACGCGCGTTACACTGTTTCCTTTCCTTTTCTTTTCTTCCACGTTCATCTCGTTCTTCGCGAAACGGTTCGATCAGATTTAACATTCCTTTCCTATTCGTTCCGAGATATTAGCTTAATTAACGGTATACTAACATTGCCTGGAATTTCGCCGGCTTGAAATATTTCACGGTACCCGATTCGCGGAAATTAATTGACCGGTTAAAACAGTTAGCAAACACAATGATCGTTATATCAAAGTGAAAGAGAATTACGAGCGCAATGGCTCGTGGCCTGGAATCATCGCGAGATCGAAGTAGATCGCAGCTGGATTCTAACCTCGTCTCAGTTTTCTACCTCGACTAAGCGGCGTGAAATATTCCAATAACCTCGCCCCGCTTACGTCAAATTCGCCTGATAAATTACGTAATCGCAACGCGAACCTTTCGCTGGAACGAGTAACAGAAGACAGATTCCGTCTCGGGATCTTTGAGTCTACCAGTAAGTATCTCATTACCGAGCTCAAGAGACCGGAGGATCCTCCGCTTCGAATATCTCTGGCGTCTTCTTCGTTCTCGGATACGTCGTCGAGATCGATCGCGATCGCCACGAGACGATCCTCGAGACGAAGAAGGCATGGGGCGTACGCGAGAACGGTGTAAAGAGACAAGAGAAAAAGGGTACGGGGGTCGGGGGGGTTGAAAGGCGGGAAGAGGAGCGACGAACAGCTTGGAAAACGACCGAGGCATAAAATTTTTCGTAAGACCACCATGGAGGCTCGAAATCTTCTCTATTACCCTTGACACGTTCGCTTTCGAGAGTCCTTGGTACGGTCGTACAGAAGTAAGTAAGATCACAAGCGTCATAGAGGCTCACGAGAGCCTCTGGGGTTAGAACAAAAACATAAAAAATAGTAATCGTTGTATAAGTGAGCATGTATAATGATTCTGAATGCGTGTCTGGCCGCGTATGCGCCTGTGTGTTCGTGTGTCTGCATCCCATAATGGGGATACGTGTGTACGTGTCGTGTGTGTTTCCTACAAAGTAACATCACTTAAACGCTAGCTTGTTTCATCTTTTATCGTTATATACATGTTACAACGTCGCTTGGTTGCCTGTATTCGTTCGGATATATATCTGACGAGCACGTGACTCCTTACCCTTTATATCACATATCGTATATAAGAAGGCACCAGAAGTAATTCTAGGTCAAGAATCTTTTCGCGGCGTGACCGCCGCTCACATTATGCTAACCAGGTAATGGAAACATTCGTAAGCTGTACACGTGTTTGCTTTCAGTCGCGTCTATCCACGCTTCGCCATGAACAGAACACGTCCAGACGTAAGAACGATCCGCTCCTCCGGCTCTACCTCGAGCTATGTCACGCTCTGCGACCCTATCACCGAGATACAACGTAACTACTGCGACATATCAAAATTTCGACCGTCCCAACGGGGACCTACTTCCCATCGTGAAAAGCTACAACTTCCAAATTAACCGGGAATTTCACTCGGATCTATCAACGACGGTCACAGGTCTATGTCCTGTCTATATCAAGCGATCTCGGACGAATAGAACGACACTCCGTTTCTGATTCGTCTTTACATCGTCATCTATTCGCCTACCTCATTCGTGACATCGGTCTCTGTTCACGGATCACGTGGCACACACGGTACAGTCGTTTCGAGATTGGCAACGACTAGGCGCTCTCGAGGCCATCTCGAGGATCGCGGGGTTGGATCTTCAAGATCGTCGTGCGACCAGTGACTTGGCTTCGGCGCGAAAGCACGATGTACCGAGACGAAATCCTCGACCGGCGCAATCTCGCACGGACGGGACCACGTCTCGACATGTTTTGGTCCGTCTAGGACTCGAAGGATATGTACAATGAACACGTGTGTTTCTAATAACGAGGAAAAAAAAAGAAAAAAAAAGGTATAAACGGTTTGAAGCTACCAATACGCCTACTCGCTAGTGATATCACGTTCCGTTCATCGATTGGAACACACGCGTGCCAGGATCGTTTAGAAAATTCAACGGGCGGTTGCAAAATACCCTGGATCTGTTTCGCGTGCTCCTTCCTGTTACAAGAGAGAAGGAAACACAGCATGCTCGAGGGAGCACGCGTTTCCAGGCATAATCACGCGTCTCTGCTGCGATCAGATCGCGATCAGGTTCTCCGCGTTGTTTACGACTAGTCGATCGCTTCCCTCAGCGCGGCTAGCTGCTCTTCCCCGAGCTTCACCTTGTCCTGAATCTCACGGCCGTCCACGATCAGCTTCGCCTTCATGTTGATGAAGTGCTGATAATCCGCGAACTCCTCCTCGTTCAGGTACTTCGACAGGATCGTCGACACGTTCACGCTGCGCTTGTCAATGTTGCTCTTCAGAATCTTCGCCTCCTCGAGCTGGTCCATCAACTTGTCCCTCTTGCTCTCCAGGATTTTCTGCCACAGGGAAAAACATTCTCTATCAGTCCCGTCTCATCCTCAACCTCCCAATCTCCTAATCGACATCGAATAGTCGTGGTCGAGCGAGACTCGGGGAACCTTACGAGGACGACTCGTTAAACCGACTCGTCGGCGAAGCAACGCGTTGCGCAAGTCCTGCTCGTTGCGATAAATCAACGCTTTCCGACACCCGCGTGAATAATCGCGTCTGCGCTTCTCAGCCTTCCTCCTGTCCGACAATTACGTCCCGCGACAAACCCGCGACTCGTCGTGTCGGCGACCACGCAAGGACGCCGGGTGGATTTTCAATTAAACGCTCGGGCACGGTCTCTGTTTACTCGGAGACACGCCGCTTCCACGAGAAATCACCGGTGCGCTTCCTTCGATCGATCACGAGCGACCTTGCGTCTCACCGGCTCCCCGCGGTTCTTCAGCCTTGGCTATCGATAGCCACGCGTTTACTCACCCTTTCCGCGTGATCGGCCGGCATTCCGTACAGGGCATTCTCGGCCCGAGCCAGCCGGCCGCTCAGGCCCAACAGAAGACTCGTGATCTTGCCCACTTCCTCCACGTGCAGCCGGTACTTGGACGCCTCAGCGGGTCGTGCGACCGCGGAGATCCTCGTGGCGACCCGCGCTCCCAGCGCCTCGTTCACGTCGCCCTCCTCGCGCACTGCCTCCTGCTCGGCCCTCAGCACCACGAGCTTCTTGTCCAGCCTCATCATCAGCTCCTCCTGCGAAGAAAATCGGCCATGTTTCACGCACTCGCCCTCATAGACGCGGCCAGGCAATTTTTAGGACAGCGCCGCCCGTTGATAGATGAAGGCACGCATTAGGGGACGAAGGATTAGGGGTCCGCTGATGACTGCGCGCAAGATGGCGGAAGGCAAGCGGGTGTTAAGTGCCAGCAGATGTTTCGGTTTACCCAGCACGCAAGGAATGATTGCGTGGGGAAGAGAGAAGGACGGGTTCAGGGAATCCGTCGGATAGGTCAACACTTTAAGGACTGGGGCTCCAGTTGGAGTTCTCGGTAAAAGTAACGGTGTACGGTCGTTATACCGTGGTGGTGCCTGCGCGTTATTGAGGTGGGAGTGTACCTGTGGCTGCCGGTGGAAACTGCGTGTCACGATTTTCGGAAATCCTAGCTTATTCCTCGATTCGACTTGGAAATATGATGTTTACGTATTTGACGGAGGAAGATGATGGAATTGGTGTTTACATTTTGATTGAAAAAGAATTAACCCCTAAAAATTAAGCACTCGACTAGAAGATTAAAATTTCAAAGATTCTGTACTAAGAAACTGACGATACTTTTTTGCGCAGTAAATAAAGAATTGTAGAATTATTTCATTTCGATACCTAGTACACTTACATTACATTACATTTTGTTGAAAATAAGGTACGTCTTAACGTATCGAATATACAAAAATTACTGTGTCAAGAGAAATAGGTATATCTTTAAATTATGCGCCGAAGAGGTTCCGGGAATGCGTAAAGTGTTTATTTCACACGTTAGATAAGAATTAGGGGGGACCAGAACGAGCTGCAATTGCATACCCTTTTTCTTCACTCTAGTTTTGACTTTCTACGCACATTCTACAGTCAGAATACTTGAGATATACCTTCCTTAAGAGAGAATAAAGATAATTATAATATATATAGTTATTCCTTTTCACCCATAATCCCAATAAATTGTATATATTAATTAATATCGATCGTCCAAATTATATGAAATGGTGACTGAAGCTCACCTCTCGAGTGCAAAAGGTTAAATGGCGATATTTCGAATTTAAAAATTAAATGGGCTGTTTTTCGTTTAAATATAACGTGAACCGATATTTTATATGTATATTAATATTAATACGAGTGTATGTTTTTCATTTATTATTTATTTATACGGTATTTTATAGGTATAGTTAACCCTTTGCACTCGAGAGGCGCCTCTCAGTCGCCATTTAATCGGATTCTAAATATGGATGTTAATTAAAATATAAAATTTACAATTACTCAACGATGCGTGGAATATCGAAGTACAATAATTCTGCGTCTTAATTTGCATACGATTTCTTATTTACCGTGTTAGAAATATCGTCGATATTTTCCTGTGACGAAAAAATCGCCGAGTGCAAAGGGTTAATATCTTAATAGTTGCAATAAATAAATAATAACTAAAATTAGTTAATAGTTTTAATTTTCAAAGTTATCTCTTCGTTGATTAATTATTGATAACTTTCGTGAAAGGTTTGCGGGCTTGAAATTATCTTTGAGTGCCACATTAATATCCAGTGGAAAAATCGCGATTAAATGGCGAACCGCAACGTGGCTATCGTTATTACATAGCTACCGAGAATTCCAATTGCTACGTATGTTCGTTGAAAACACTTTGGCTGTTGGTAAAAAGCGCATAAATGTTCCAGGAAGTATACAGTGCCGTATTTAACCTTTGCACCTCGAGTATGTCTGACAGATACAGAGTCAAGTGTCCTACCCTAAGTGTGTCTCTCAGATACTTAATTGGCCTGCCACTATTACGAACCGATTTTTGTTTACCGAGGTATTAATCAAGAATCGAGTACTCGTACGAAATTTCCTTGGAAACCAATTACTCGTTACTAATTAACGTTCACTGCTCGATAATTAACTGTGGCGTTATACCAGTCGGCTCAACATTGAAATCGTTTTAGATAGCGCTGCGTGAGAAGTAGGATTTCCTGTTTATAGCCAAGTACTTCTTTTTCTTCCTCGATTATCCATTTTACGCGTTGATTTCCATTAACATACATTTTAATGTTAATTAGAAATCGACGAACAGCGAAAGAAACTACTTTTGGTCGAAGAAATGCTACCAAAAACAACCGATAACGTTAATAATCCCGAGTAAGCGAAAATTCCTTCGAAACAGGTTTCGTTACTTATTATTCCTATATAATTATCATATTGCATCATTCCGACGATGTTACTAAATTTATGTCACTATCCGCAATGACCAACTTTCTTCAAAAACAATTTCCCGATTATTCTTTACTATCAAGAATACGTGCAACTGTCGCGCGAAGAATAACGCGATTCAAATTTCGCGCGCAAACGTGTACCGAAACTAAGTCGAGGTTAGCCATCTATGTCCACGCGCTGAGAGGTTAGGAACGCTACAGAGGGTTATTAATCGCGATTAACACTAGAACTATCGATCTTTAATGGGTACCTAACTATAACGTGCACAGATTATAGTAATTTCAGCGGTACTATGAATATGAGTAAATATTTTATTCTTAAAGCAGCTGTATGTTTTCGGTGATTGCAAAAGGGAAAATTCTGGGACCAATCATTTTGACTGGGTTGGTAGTTCTAGTGTTAAACGAGTGATTGTCCGTATCAATAGCACCCAATCGATCAAGTATCGATACACGAAACGATATTTACGTCTTTCTTACCTTTTTCTGCCTGAGATCAAGGCTGTCGGTCGGGATGACCGGTGGCGCGTCCTCTTGCCTCGTCAGCCCCTCGACCGTCACATCACGCGAGTATCTGGTGAGGAACCTGGCTTTCCCCTCGGACGTGGTGAAATAGGCCGACGTAGGGGACAGAGGGCTGGTGGAGTCCGTCGACAAGGGGGTGACCGGGGTGGAGGGTATGGCCTCATGCCTGGAACAAGCATCGTTTCCATCTCTAAATCACTCGTTCGCGACCGGTCTCGACGTAATCCTGGCGACCAAGGCGCGGAAAAATCCTTGCTCGCGAGTACGATTCGTGATCGTGGCCGACACGGATTGCATCACACGGCGGCATGAGTCACGATCGGATCGATCGGCACGTTTCGCGGAACGGGAACGTCCGCTCGGATGATTTACCATGCCTGTGAGGTCCTAGACGCGTCTCTCGTCGCCAGGTAGTCACGTGCTCGCGAATAATGCGCTCTGGTCAGCGCGACAGCGATTCGAATCGGTGAAATCGTACATTTTACGCGATGCCCCATTCTCTTTCAGCGATTTGGTAACCTGGACGAGCCAATGGTGACCGAAATCAGGGTCCACGCTCGTTCACCGTGTTGTTCCCGGTTGCTACCGATTCGGAGAAATTACAATGACCAAATTATGGTGTTATTTTTGAAACTCGCGCGCGATAGTGGGATTTCTAACAAGAATACGGAATTGCGTGAACGTTCCCAAGAAATTGTCAACTGTCACGAGTGTAACCGTCGCGTTCGTCCATCATCGATATCCAAAGTTCTCGAATGTCTGGAGAAACCGTGTCGCATGATTGTGCCTTCGCGGAACAGCTCGCGAGCGCGTACTCCAATTAGATACACGATCAAGAACGCGTCCAGTGGAGATAGGATTATCAGGGGACGTGCGTGCAGCGAGAGCGGCGTCCATCGAGAGCGACTT